ATGTGGCGTAGTTTAGATTTTGGACTGTACTGTATGTCTTTCTGCGTAGTGGCAAAAAATTGGAATTTCCTTTATATCAGTAACACTCGTTTTGATCTCTTTTGACAATTTCTTTGAAATTCTCCGGTTCATATCTCAGTTTCAGCCAATGTTGGATCAAATTATAAGGGGAAAGCGCTTTCAAATGAAGGTCTTTGCTGTGGAAGCGGAAGCTTGCAGAATCTCTTTCTTACTGAAGGGGTTCACAGTCATTAAGTCATTAAATGTCATTACGTGCAGACAGTTGTGCGATATTCAACACTCGCATCTTTTCATTCTCCCTTAGCGGAGTTCTTTGGTAAAGTTAGCACTAGGTAGAGGCCACAGTAGGATGGAAACTGAGATGATGAGGCCTTTCATTCAAAAGAGCATGATGGTAGGAATGGGTGATGATGTGTTAGCTACACTCTAAAAAATGCTGGGTTATTTTAACCCAATTTTGGGTAAAATATGGACAAACCCAGCCATTGGGTTACATTTTTAAATGACATTTTTTACCCAATGGCTGGGTTTGTCCATATTTTACCCAAAATTGGGTTAAAACAACCCAGCATTTTTTAGAGTGTAGGCATTCAGCTACGATTGGTGATTTAGTATTATTTTTTTGGCTCTGATATTTAATCTTTTTGAAATGTATTTATTTATTTTTAGATTGATTTTGATATTAAGTATTTTTAAGTGGTGGTGCTTTATAATTCTCAACTTAAAATAAATAAATTAATGAATCTTTATTTTTTTTTTAATTATGTCTCGCTAGTGGTACAATTTTAATAAGGATTTTTAAAAATAACATTATAATTTATAGTATAACAATGTACATGATGTATATTACAGGTCACTGTGTTTTAAATAATTAGTGTTTTTAAAATTTGAGTCACTGTTATATTGCGGCATAATATAGGACAAAGGAGCTTGAAATTAATTATCCAATATCTAAATGATAAATAAAGAAATAAATATATCCGCCACTAGCAAAATATCATGCCTCCCTACTTGTCAATTTTGCTTCTCGAGGCCTCTCCACCTTACGTTTGTGCATAATTTAGCTGTTTTTGAACACGGGCAGTTTTAAATCACGTTTGGTCAAGTGAACCTGAAATCAGTCTAATTATAAAGGGTTTGCTTAAAAGCGATTTGTCGACTGGTTGCAATTTTGTTAATCTCTAATAGAATGCCATTATGGTGTCTTCCAGAAAGGTTCTTTTCTGTGGAGAGCTAGTGTGATTGTCTATCAGTTGTTCAAACCTCCGACCGAGTGGAGAATGCACCAAAATCAAATGCATAACGGACACAAAAAACACAACCTCTTAAATGCTGCAGAATTGTGAGAAACAAGGATTGCCGTGCTCCGAGCTGATTGAGTGTTGATATAATTACGTCGAACATGGAGCTGAGATTTGTGGGAAATAATGTCTTTGTTGCTAACAACAATCCCTGCGTGAGATATTACTTGAGCATGAAAAGGAAAGACTCTGAAAGGGTAATTATATGACTGTGCAGAATTAGCTCTTGAAGAGCCGATTCATCATCTGAATGATGTACACTCGCAGCAATGATCAGGGTTTATTTGCATAAACTCTGCATTTTGATCAAACTGTGATCTATTAATAGCACATTAAAATGTTTTGCGGCCTCTCAGCTAACAGTGAGGAATACAAAAGCCGTTTTTGAACTTAAAAAGTGTGCAGTTCATGCTCTAGACCTCCATTCAGGGTTCCTTTTACTTCTTGTGCCAGATGCTCTTAAGGTTGGTCCCCTATGTGCTCCAATTGGACAAAAAGACCTAGAACAAAGCTTCTGAAAAAAAAAAAAGCTTGGATTTCACTACTTGCGTTTCTATCCTGGGACACAGAGACGCCGGCACAAGGGAAGAGAGCTGCCTTTGTGTTGCTGGACGTAGCCAGGCAGCGAGTGGTCCGAATGACCTGATTCTGCTTCCCTGTCTCTGGAACCAGTTCAAATGAAAAACGGCGCCTGCGCCGACCCAGAAGCTTTTAGTTGCGCTCGTCAAACCATTCCCTCCTCCTTTCTTTCTCTTCCCCCAACCACCACCTCCTTTACACCTTCAGACGCGCAGCGTGAAATTGCCAATAATGCGGCAGCTTGTTCGAGCGCTCCGCACCGAGAGCGAGCGAGGCGGTTGTATATGGAAGGGAAGCATTAAAGTCAGAGAAACGGAGAGCACGAAGAAGTGGAAAAGGTTGATGGCCGGCAGGGAGGGCGCCCCCTCTCGCACATGGGCTGTCGAAAGATGTTATTTGCGTCGGGATGGGGAGAGAGGAAATGTCATGTTTATGTGGCTAGGTAATGAAAACGTGTCTGCTTCCTGAAAGGTTGACAGACAGGAAGCCTATTTCATTAGATTGCAGCACATAGGGTCTGATTGGCATGTTGTTCCCCTTGCCAGAAATACCGTGGCATATGCCAATGAGAAGACGACGAGACACATGCTCCATCCCCCCTGTCTGTGTCACAGGCATATGCGTCCTGCCACATGAGGCCTGGGCCTTCTGATAAAATAACCACAATGACAAAAGGCATTAGTCTGTGTCACAACTATTACGGTCATTGTGTTTATTCTTAGCGCAGTTTTTTTTTTTTTTTCAATCCTAACATCAGAGGTGGCAAGTCTTTGTAGCTGTTGCTATAAGTCTGCTGTGTTGGGGCTTTACACATTTTGACCCGTGTAAGCAGGATCAAGGCTGTGATTGCGGTCGAGTTTCTTTTCTTTTTTTTTGCGTGTGTAAGCAGGTGCACACGTAAAAGCAGATTGCTGCTGCCTCAACAACCCATGATGATTCATGGCCCCCGATATGGACAGGAGACATCTGCAGAAAGACTAACACTGCAGAAAACAGATCTTTCATGTAGCTGCGCCTCTCTAACAGGAGCCGTGTGCACTAGAAATGAGCACAATTACTCTAGGCTGGCATAGGCGAGGCGAGCGGCACGCAGACTTTGGCTGACAGCGGAACATTTCTAAAGGTCAGACATCTGCAAAGAGAGAGAGAGAGAGTAAAAAAAAAATGACGTTGAACCTTTCCCTGTTCCTTCTTCATTTCTTTATTCCTCATTCCGGCTTCTATTGAGTGAACTGAGAAATGAGTGTGGTGTTCGCTATCGATTCGGCCGATCACTCATAAACCGCCATTTTAGAGAGACAGCCCCTGTCTTCCATTTGCTTAATGAAGGGTCTTGTATCTCCTGACCGCTGACAAATAGACATTTGCTATATTGCATGTAAAGACCCATCCGGTCACTTGATTGATCGTGTCTCTCTGAGGTTGGTCTGATAACTGCTCTACTACAGATTTGTCCCCTGGCTTGGAATAGATTTTCAAAAATATCATTAGCCAGAGGCCGTTGTTATTAAGATAAACTCCGCTTCAAATGTAATTGAACTCTGATCAAGGGACTATGTACATTATTTCAGTTCATACACAGTCTGTTAGTGATAATGTACATCCAGATGCTTCCTCTCCCGACCTGGGCATCACTCAGGATTGCCCTTCGCCCACTTTGTCACTTGGGACTGTGCTGTGGGTTGGTGCCTAGGGGCAAAACAAAGCTCAAGCTGTCTCGTGTTTCATGTTCTAGGCCATTAAAAACGTAAATATTAATGCCAATAAAGCAGTTTGAGACACCTGTGCTGCTTTTCAATGATGGACAAATATGCGGGATGCTTTTAAAACAAAACTAAACCCTTTAAAGTGTCTGACATTATGTAGGTCAACTTTTGTACATAAACAGTGGGAGTTTTTGTAATATTTGTGCGTTTACATTTGTGCGGTTTTTATGTGGTTTTACATCCTTCTAGCCAGATATACATTCATATATATATATATATATATATATATATATATATATTAAAAAAATATATATATATATGAAGAGTTCAGATGCAAAAGCCTCTAAGTGCCATTTGAAATTTTCTTCTAAAATGATCATTTTTATCAAGCTTGTATAAGTTCAGTAATTTCACTTAAATGGCAATGAAGATTACCTATTAATTGTCATTTAAGTGAAATTACTGAACTTAAATATACAAGCTTGATAAAAATGGTCATTTTAGAAGAAATTTTCAAATGGCACTTAGAGGCTTTTGCATCTGAACTCTTCATATATATATATATATATATATATGAATCTGTTTGAATCAGAATAATATATTTAAAAAATCAGTTTAAATTAACATTCACATTTTATTTCTGAGCAGGCCTGATCAGAGCCTGAGGAGGCACTCATGAATGAATTAAAGGCCATGAGCATATCATATTTGGCAGCACTTGAGAAGTGTTATGGTTTCATGCCCTCAATGAGTCAAAGCCCTGGGCATCATTAATCATGCTTTCGATTTGTTTGACATTTTATCCTGAGGTCTGTGCAGCTGTTTCAATGAATGCCGTTGTTTCCAAAGCCCTCTCAGCAGACTGAAATATGGATGCATTATCAAATTATTATTTCTATATCAGAAGCTGTAAATCACTCTATTCTGGCTGACACTGGCAACTTTCCCAGCCATATGTTACATGTCACACAAAGTCACACGGCATCACCTGAAACGCCATATTTAAAAGATGTTTTTTTAAAATGCTTTTCACCTGAAATGATAAATGCACTTGGTCTTATATCAGATAAACCCCTCAACCCATTTTAGATATGACTGGCTGAGTTGATGCTAAATAGTGACAATGATGAATCTGTTGTGAAGCTGCCTCGCAAATGGTCCAGTAAACGTACTGTATGTCGTGACAAACTAGCCTTTTCTCTCACCTTGGCAGCATTTTCCACATCCTTGTAGGCCATTGTCTTTTCATCTCACTACTCTAAACTAGACCGAGTCAATAAGTTGATTTAGTATGCTTGACTAGTTCATTTAAATATTTTAGAGACTGTTAATGCGTTAGTTTGCTCACTACTCGTAATTGGTTGAATTAAACATCCTTTGTTCTCCTTTCTAGCTTCTAACCATCGATGACAACTTCTGTGGTCTGGATATGAACGCCCCACTTGGCGTCTCTGAGATGGTACGTGGAATTCCACTCTTCTCGGAATCCAATGACAAATTGACATCCGTTATCGCCTACGTGTACAAGAACCACTCTTTGGCTTTTGTGGGGACCAAAGGAGGTCGTCTGAAAAAGGTAGGACTTTTGTTTCTTTTGCAAGAGCGTGAGAAACCGAGGAGTTAACTGATCCAATAATTTTATCATTGTTCTAAAAAGCATCAGAGATCGAGCTAGTCTTGTGTAGTAATTGCTGACTTTGGGCTTTTTATGACACGTGAGAAGATCAGAGCGTGGTCAACTACATCCGTTCTGTAAGAACATTAGATCCAGTGAGTTTTGCAATCATGGTCATGCTCGGCAATCTTCTGCTGTTGTGTATGACGCGTGTAGAGAGAAACGGTTGGTAAGCGGCACAATGAGAGGCAGGCAGAGAAGGGCCATGGGAATCCCTGCACAGGCAGAGGCTGTCGGGGGTAATTGGATGATGCGGTGCAGGGGCTTTCGGCCCGGTACCCTCTTCTCTGACTGTGCCTCAGAGGGAGCCGTGTCTGAGACGAATCCAAGGGCCAGCCAGACACTGCGCAGAGCAGAAAATAACATTAAAATAGAGAGAGAGCACGACAGCAAGGGAGGGTAATACAGACAGAGAGGATGAGTGTGAATGAGAGTATCATTTTTCTCTTTTTCTCAAGTGCTAAACCTCCAGGGTGTTGACGTTACAGACGGGGAAATCTTTGCCAAAAGGCAGGATTCCAATTTGACGCATTCTTGTTATTGTGGTGGTGTGTTTTGTAGTTGGGTCTGGCTGTGGATGAAAATAACAGACTAGTAAAAAAATAACCTGTTTTAGTGCTTATGTTAGTTGTTAGTTGTCCTGGAACTTATGCCAGATTTAAGACTTCACTACTGTATATTAGCTTCCACACCAAGGCATGATGACATTCGCTTTACTCTAAGCATGTGCTGCAGTTATGCTTTCTGCCAAATGCTGGATTCCGATTGGCTGTCATTCATCAGCTGGAAAAGATTGTTCTGAAAGTGATTCCAATGATATTGTTCCTCTGTGTCATTATCTATGTAGTTGTGGTGTCGACTTCCCTATTATTGAATTAGAACGATTATTAAAACTAATACTTATTGTTACAATCGAGACTGTTGTAATTATAGAGATGGGACACTCATACTTCAAGACAACTAACTCTGTAAGATCTTGCAGGTAATAATGATATTTTCTGTGTGCCATTCCATTACAAAAAAATGACAGACGAAATGACGATTGACGAAATGACAGACTCCGAATTCCAGATACGAGCAAGCCAAACAAATCTCCAAGGAACAGACAGACAACACAGCGTGTTTCTCTTTCAGGCAGACGGACGCACATAACCATGCGCACACACACAAACACACAGAAACCTTTTAGTTGCCATTTCAGTGATTGCAGATCTCTGCGGGAAAACAGCCGATGATGTCACACTTGCCTTTTAGACAAAACAAGAAAATAGTCCTCGCTAGCAGACATTAATCAATGAAAATGAGTTTATTACTGCCCCTTTTACATGGTGATTTATAGTCCACCAGCACGTCACACTCAGTAAATTGTTTACTAGCTGAAGACGAGCTCATCACGAAAAGTAAATATTGTCTAGAGCAAATTTGATCGTTTGTGCGAGAGTTGTGCGGAAACCTGGGGGAAAAGACCCCTTGAAATCAAAATGTCTTGTTTTTCCTTGTGTTGTTGTGTTTTTCTTTTTCTTTTTTTTCATTTAATGCAGTTTAGAATCTCCACCAGGTGTTTATTTTAAATTTGAACAGGATAATCCAAGGCTTACTGCATTCAGCATGACTGCGGTTCTCCAACTGTAGTTGGCGCTGTCTCTGTGATTGACTCCGAGAGGAGGTGCAGTGGCAGGATGTTTTGTGTCTCACCGTGTTAAAAGTCAGAGCTGTAGCCAAACCCCAGAGAGAAGCAGTAAACAACTTCTTAACCCTCCAGAGAATATATTACACAGACACGTTTTTATAATGCGTGCACACACGGCCATCAGCATAAAAAGCACAGAGCTGAAAACACCAAACTGCTGCGTTTGCTGCAGCAGTTGTTCAGCACCCCTGGCACTACAGCGGTCTCCCAGACCAGATGTGGTTTTGGGACTTTGAAACCTCTTTGTCCCCTCTTGCACCCTTGTGTTTTCATTAATCCATCCATCTATCCATTCCTCTCTCCCTATGCCTTTTTTTGTAACCACATATTTGCATTAAATTTTGTATCCACTTTTTTATGTATCTAGTGCAACAAAATAAAGGAATGTATGCTTTATATATTTTGAAATGTATTTATTTAATAGGGATGCACCGATATGAAAATTTTGCCCGATACAGATAACCGATAATTCTTTATATTTAAAAAACCGATATATCGGCCGATATATTTAAATCCAAATTTTTATCTCATTTTGAGAGCCTTATTACAAAAACATAAGTCTCACAATTAAATCCATGTCCCAAGCGCACGAATATAATGATGTTCTCATTATAGTGTTGTTTAGACAGATTTGCGCTGTACATGTTGTACCGAACCATACTTTCATTTTTTTAAAGAGATTTCAATAATATTTCAAGAAAATATAAAACATAAACAGTGCTCAACAAGTGTCTCAGCTGAAGGGAATAATACATTATTTATCGGCTTTAATATATCGGCCACATTTTCTTACCAGGCCGATAACGATAACATAAAAACTGAACATATATCGGCCGATACCGATATGCTGGCCGATATATCGTGCATCCCTATTATTTAATACAAATATTTTATGATGTAGATTATTATTATTTATAAAATCAATTATGAAATAATAGTATTTAAAGTGCAATTTTGTTCATTTACATATACTTCTGACATTGTAACAGTACAAAGCAGGTTGAAAATATGCAATGTTTACTCATTGTCTGTGTCCCTAATTCACATTTATTTGTCTGAAAAAGTCCACTCTGACATAAAAGACCTTTGACAGCTTTCGGACAGTTGGATCAACAGGACAGAAGGTGTTGTTTTTCAGCTTTCACCCTCTGGCATAAAATGCTGTATTTGTTGTCATCCAGTTTGAAATGTTGACTACAAGATTTTCAGATTTTCCTTTGTGGCATTCTCTCCATATTTGCCACAGCATATTTTACAACGCACTGGATCCTTTGCTGGAAACCAAAAGTAACTCACTCTCACTAAACGTTTATTATTATTTTTTAGTTCTTGCACCAAGGAACGATACAAGTCAAGTCTGCTAAGGAGTATTTCCTACTAAAGCAATGCACCATTTGACTCTGATCAAGTGCTTCCATAGCTGGTGTGAGTGGCCTTGGACGTCAACATATCAAGTGCATTATAGGTGTTGAATTTTTCCTACGTAATTGGCAAAAGGGAAGACAAAATCCTCTCTTCTTTGTTTTTCATAGCACAGATTTCAACAATTTTTCACCTTTCTTACTAGACATAAGCAGCAACGTTTTATTGAAAGCCCATTTTGCCAGCAGTAAAGTACCCCTTTAATTACATTTAAATATAGGCCTAGGCCTACATTTATATTATAAATGAAATTTATGCCACCACATATGATTTTACCCGTTGGCTTAATTCTCTCCGATCTCTTTAGTTCTCTTTAGTAGGCATCTACATTATCCTTTCAAAAACCCATCATGATGCCTTTCAGTGTTTACGTGTAATAAATAGGCCATATGGCCAAGGCCTCAATCCTCCGCTTTAGCCAGTAGCTATGTCAAAAAGGGTGAAATTAAACCTATTAATTGCGGTCAACGAATCTGTTTTGAGCCAAGGGTGAAGTCGACAGTCTTTTAATCCTTTTGCGTTAGGCATCCGTGGCAGCCCGTTTCACTGGCGGGATACACGCAGACCAGGAGGGCCGGATAAGCCCCCCCGCCGAGGTGATAATGCATCCAGTCGAGAACCTCAGCCACTCACTCAATACAATGAGCAGCTAACCTTGAAGCAGACCTGGCACAGGAAGTCTGTCTGACAGCGCCCAGTGTGAAGGACAGAGGGGAAAGTGCTTGTGTGTAGATGGGTCGAAGTATGTGTGTTATCTGATGAGGTTCTGTGCATTTAGCCATGAGGTGTGCACTGAAGTGAATTCTTCAGCCCTTGGAGACGCCACTGCAGTTCAAAGGGCACGATTCAGACACTGTAAAATTGTTCAGACTGTGGATTCAGGTTGTTTCAGGATGACGGCTCAGATTGCCGGTTGTCGATGGTGATGGCTGGCGGAAAAGGCTTCAATTTGTCTATGAATGGTAAAAGGTGGTTGGGAAAAGGTCACGTCATCCTTTAGATGTGACTGCCTGTATGTCCCTCTCTCACAAATTTTTGTAAGCATGTAGGGGTGAATATAATCTGTACAGGATTAGGGATGTGTCAGTCTACTAAGGTTTGAATGAATGTGAATAAACTATTAAATAAACAAATAATTATTAGTAGTAGTAGTTCTTTATTGAATGTGCATTTATGAATGTATAAAATATGAAAATATAAATTGTTATAAATGTATTTTGTCTGTTGTTGGATGATTAGTCAACTGGTTTACCACCGTGACCCATCCCTATTTTGTGTGCCCAAACCTGGTGGGTTGGCTCGCCTTTGTTGGATGTGTGTGTTTGTTTGGACGCTCACCACAAATGTAGATTATTGAAATGATGTGAGAGAGCTGGAGCCACTGAAGCAGAGGATTAAGTGTTGAAATTTAATGATGAAATATGCTGCAGGACTGCGTGCTTTAGATGCAGGGGAAACTGTGTGTGTGTGTGTTTCAGAGTGCATATGGGCATGTTGAGTGTGTGTGTGTCGTGTATACAACAGTTTTATCACTCTCTTTGCAGCTGCTTATGCCAATCCCCAGAGGAAAATAGTGGTTTCGAGTTGGGTCTTTCTGCAGAGAAACAGAGCAGGCCTATAGAGAACCATCTAGTGTGAAAGCACACAACTCATTTGTTAGAGACACTTCAATATGTGTATGTCCTGAATACGTCTATGACGGCAAAACTTAGGCCTCTTCCCTTTATGGATCTATGGGAGGGTTGCCATGACAGCCAGGCTGCTCTCTTTCTCTATCTCTCTCTTGCTT